ACAAAGATTATAAAGATGAGGATCAGAGTCTTCCTCTTGTAAACTCTCGGTCACTGTATAACGGCCCATTGAAAAACAAACCAGAACGACACTGAGTGAAAGAAAGACCAAAGACTTCTGCTATATGGAGAATGCCACATTCACGCCAAGTCAGCTTAAAACATCAGCAAAACAGGTGCATGCCTGCATACAGCTGACCGCAGAGTCGACTGTAGAGTGTAGAGTAGCCTTTGTGTGTTTGGTTCAAGATCCCTTTCAAACAAAATCATTCTCAGTCTAATTTTATGTATCTGAATGCTTCAAGTTGGATGACTGAAGGAGAGATTTTGATGCAACTAACTTATTTAAGAGCACATGATACATCAAGGGAGGAGCATGTTAGCAGGACCAGGGAAAAGCTGGCAGGGAAAAGCTGGCAATATGGTAGTGGAAACAGATGGTCTACAAGCAAAAACTCTCTTATGATTAAGAGAAAGTATTGTTCGTAGGGTTACATTTCTAAAGGAGGAGTTCTGCCAAAACCAGCACAAAACAGAGTAGTTATTAAAAATGTGATTTATATGATCAAATTAGATTAAAAGTCATTGTCTCTCAGCTGAGAAGTGAGCACTGAGCATGTGTGTGTTTCTACTCCATTACAATATGAATGAAAAAGACTGCTATTATTAAATTGCTATTTCCAGGTGAGGGACAGAAACTTCCTAAATCACGCTAATTCTGTCATCAGCTGTTATCTGACCATACATCAATGCACCGATCTAACTAAAAAACTAAGCAGGTACTGAAGTGGGATACTGACTTAAGTGGGTCTTTATTATATACCTAATCTGTGCTGCTTAGCAGGCATGAATTCAGATGCAAGTTTAAAAGTAAGTAAATAGTTTAAACTATGCTGAACTATGGAGCATGACCTAACAAACCTGGTGGGAAGGCACAAATAGAAAGACAACAGCAATTTCAATAAGAAAGTGAAATTAAATGCCAGAAGTACCTCTGAAATCGGCATGATATCTACAGAGCAAAAGCGATGAAAAACAAAGGAAGAAGAGGGGAAGGAAAGTCATGTAAATATCACAGCTGGATGTCACTTGCTGGTAATTCTTGAACCAGTACTCCAATAGTTAAGAATGCAAAACCGAAGTACATTAGGGTCAGATTTATCCGACCTAACTTTGCTCACTTACCGTGTCCGGCATAAGATACATGCGTATATTGCTTCTGTAGATAATACAGACAGTCATGTATCTCCTGAGGGTGACATCTCCCACTCTAAAAACAGTTGTCTGAGATACAGATGTGTCTAACCTGAGGTTCTTAGGTCCCCTCTTAAAGTCACTGAATGCCCTGATTTAGTGATAGTGACCTGCTGGTACATCTTCACGTTCAAGTGGCTGCTGAACATTCACTAAAGATGCTCATTCTAGGAGTGCATAAGAATTTACTTATCTGTGAAGATCTTGCCCTCTCTTTTTTGAAAGTTAACTATAGTATGAGAAGATGCAAAACTTCAGACTCTACCCTGGTGAGTAAAATCTGATATTAGGCTCAACACTCTGCTCACTGCATATTTCTTTTCCTTCAGCAGGGTTGCTGACATGAAACAGAGTATATACAACAATTATTTCAGTAAAAATTTCTTGACCTTGTTAAAAATTAAGAAGACTATTGCATTCAGTAATTGGTTAGGAGCTGTGCTAGAGCAGGCCCTGACTTTGCCTCCTGCTGTGCGTAAGCAGTCTCACGTGTCCCTTCACCTCTGTGCCCCAGACGCTGTCTTGGTTAAACGGAGGCAGGCTGCTCTGCATGAAGGGGGGCTGAAGGGCTTAGGAGAGTCCTTGAACTCCTCAAGCAAGAACTTGCTTTTGCTGTCCCCTCCCAGGGCTGTGTCCCCCAGCCTCTCCCCACGTTGTATAGGACGCCTAGGAGACTAACTCAAAGGCTGTGGTTTTCTGCACATGAGCAGGCTCCAAAAGTTAAATACTGATACATCTACACATCCATACCTGCAATATCCACTGTCTGCACCTGCTTTCTCTCAGCAAAGAATGCATGTGTTAAACATGAGATGTGGAGGGGAGGAGAAGGGGCAGCTCTCATGGCACACACAACATCGTACCTGTAGCCAAGGGTTTGGGAAGCATCATGGTGAAGTTAGTCATCTTTATCCACAATTCAGACCTTACAAACTATTAGAGAACCCCATAATCATACTGTCCGTTTCGTCTGTGGCTGTATCACAAGCTGCAAATGATCATTTTACTCCAGAATGCTTTGAAAGCAGCCTGTGATGAGTGAGCCATATAAGAGGCAGTCAAGCCCCAGGACAAGTATCATTAGCATTCAACTTATCCAGAGCTGAGAAGCACTAATAGGAAAAGTACTTTGGGCACTCATTAGCTGTCTTTTTAATGTGACTTACCAGCAAGAAGACAGAAAGACCATACGTCTGATCATCTTGCACTAAGCTTTTGCCACAGCACAGAGGCAGTGCACACTGGTGTTAGAGTACGTGCAAAATGAGCCTTATACAACATTAGAACACCAGAGATCACTAAATATCCACAGACAGGGCTGTGGGACTCCAGCCCACAAAACTCTCCTCTGAAACACAGACTTCACTGGACATAAACCAGCTACACAGAACGACAGCCCAGGAGGCCACAGCAAATGAGAACTACAGAGGGGAAAAACTTGCCACAGGGCAATTTTTCCATCCCACCTTAAGAATGGTGGAAAACCGAAGAAGCAACAGGCTTTCCAACAACACCTCAGGGATGAATATACAACCTGCAGAAGCTTCTGTGGGAAGGACTGACTTTTTCTGAGCTGGCTCATGCTCAATACAGCTGGTGACGCTTTCTCTCAAAGTTGTAGACAGTGAGTATATACATACATGTACATACCATATCAGTGAGCAGAAGTTGGGGAGCATCTCCCTTCTTAATGGGGAGAAAACTTCTCTCTACCATCAATGACAAAGTTGCTATCTTGCATCTCAAAGCTGCCAAGTACCAAAAAGTTAGAATATCTCATTCAAGGAGTGATTTCAGGCAGCGTTCAGCAAAACACCAGGCTGCTACACTGCTTGGACACAAACCTAACATCAAATTTCCCAGTAGTGCTGCTGAGGTCAATATGGTTACTGCCCTGTGTGGCGTCAGGCATGTTCTTTAGGGGCTTTGATTGAAGCTTTGGCTTCCATTTCGTTGCAACTTACATTAGTGTTGCAAGAGGGTTTAGCAGGCATTCAAGTAAAGCAGCAAGTACCTTACACCTGCTTACTGTCTACTTTTGCCATTGCTTTTCCGTGGGTTGCATGGTATATGTAAGACAAAAAAATCAAACCAAAAGGAACAAAGAATGTGCGCATATATACAAGTAAACCAAGCAGCGCGTTCTCTACCTGCAAGACCTACAGACTGTTCCTGAGGTTAGAGACCAGCCGTTACAGCCTAGGAGTCAAATATTTGAGCACAGTTCTTAGCTCGATCTTAGTTTGCCTGAGGAGTCTTAGGGAACTGACTCCCACATGCTGCATTTCCCCATACAAAGCAATCTACATTGATGTCATCAAGAATTTGGAAAACGGGAAGTAACCAGCTGAGGCAAGGCTGGAGGTAAGAGCAGGGGAAACTTCAGACTCGCATGAATGGACGCTTGCTGCAGGCTTTGCACTGACAGCTATTCTACACCACTGCCTTACAGTCTCGGGCACCAGGCAGCCTGGTGCTTACTGATTCACACCAGGCCCGGCTGGGTCTCGTGGGCCTAGCAAAGCATGCCTTTTTCTTACCGGGCACAGAAGTGCTCCAGAACGTAAAGCTCAAGAGGAGATTTCTGCTCAGAGGCCCTGGACGATGATGCCAGCTCAGGTGCTGCTTCGTGTGTGGCCTGGAGGTCCACAGCTTGCTAGAAAAATATTTGCAGGTGCAAAACTGCTGGCATGTAGCAATGCTGTCCAGTAACTCAGACCACCTTACCACAACATAGAAAGGACACCTAAAACTGGGCAGTAGGACTAGCACAGACCATGAAAAAGGCCACTTTTGATAGAGGAACAAGTTGACAGACCTGTTATCAACACTATGTTTACATGCAAGTGCAATGAACTTTTTTCTTCTTTCCTATAAATTGTGCCTCTCTGATTCCCTGGTTACTTTCTTGGGCTCCATTCTTTATACTAGAAAGACCACACTACAAAAAACAAAAACAAAACAAAAAAAACCCCAAACAAACAAAAAACTACCACAAACTTTATAAACTCTTATTCCTCTTTGAAACCATTGTATTTTAGTTATGCCTGGCTGGCACGAGGGCCAGTGGATCTGGCTCTGTGTGTAAAAGTGTGTTCACTCTTCCTTCTCTCAGCAGATACTGATGTCAGCTTTGGCCACATCAAATCACGGAGAAAACAGAAGTTTTGACAAGATCCACCACACATAGGAAACAGGAGTGACACCCCTCCAAAGCTACGCGTTAAAGTGACCAACTATCTACAGCCACTATGGAAAAAGCCAAGGCGTTCCTGTTTCCATCATCCTTCAGCTCACAGTTCCCCTTTTAGGTGGTCCATTGGTCAAAAAGGTAACTCTGAATGTTACTCTGTGCCTCTGCGGTGCGGCTTAGCTACAGCTCTCTAAATCGAGGTGTGAAAGGACAGGAACATTTATTAAAGGTTTCCACCACAGAACAAGAGCTCTCACTTTTTGCAGCTTGAAATAAACCCCACTCACAACACAGAAGCAAGTGCAACCACAGCAGGGTTTGAGCAGGAAGAGCCTTCACAGGGGGGCTAGTGAAGGACGGGTGGGGGAAAGGAGGTGGTACTCTATCACCAGAAAAAGTACTGCCACCCAATTTTTTCCACTTATAGTCAGCCCCGCCATGACGCCCCAAGAGTGAAGACAAGAACTGACCACTGAATGACAATATATAAACCCTGTGAAAGAGGGTTGACAATAGCCACTTTCTTCTCTGCCTTGACAAAGAAGCCACCAGCAATGAAACTCCACGCTGCAGCTATCCTCGTCATCTTCTGGCTTGGCGTCTTCACTGTGCACATGGCGAAAGGTAAGTTTACGAACCAAGAGGAAGATGGGAATTGCTCCACATTGCACCAGTGGTCTGATGAGCAGGATTCATTCTCAGCCAGAGCTGATTCGTAAGATAAAACTTGCAAGAAATCCAGATCAGAACCGCAGGAAAGGCAGTTTTATGGGAGATTTCATGTGATGTCCTGTCAATTAGTGATTGGCTTCTGCCTTAATGCAGGGAGAGTTTCTGTGCCTTGAAGGGTTTCTGTGCATTATTCTCTCTCTTAAAATCATGAAATCTTGAAGACACAATGTCTTTTAATGTCACTGACGTCATATAGCAATGAGTCCTATAGGTTAATAACATTTTATGAAAAATATTTCTTTTAAGATGTACTTTTTTCTTTTTCCAGATACACTACTTTATATGTATTTTTATTATATTATTTTTTATTTGTCTTTCTTAAATTATATAGCCTTCATCCCTCTAATGTTCTTATTTTTAAAAGTTCTTCCAGTTATGTATCACGTATTGCCTATTTGCTTGTTTCTAGCCAAATATTTTGGTACAGACAGGCAAACTATGAACAAAAACTGCAAAGGAGGAAAATGGATTTATACAGTGTCTTCTCTCTCTTCCTGATTTCATACAATTTAACATTTTGTTTGAGACCATTTATGAGCACTGAGATGAGCCATGTTTATTAGCCATGCTTTACATAGGTTTGTCTACAGTGATGTTTAGGTCTGTGACTTTTGGATTAGGCTACATGTATCATGCGAAAACATGAACATATACACATAAGCACATGTCTTCTTATACACAATCAGATTCACGCAAACAAGCACATAAAAATCACAGAAAACACTCATATGCAAGCCATATTCAAACCCACAAAAATATGCAAAGAGAAACACACAGAAAAGGCATCTTCACAAAACCACACCAAAACCAAACTGAGACCTGCTAAGCATTCACATGATGATGTAGCTACACACTGAGTATGTTGACCTAGTGCCCCTAGAGCTAGATCATACTACATTCTCGTGCGTTGATTAACGCTGCTGCTGTTCATCTCGGCAACATGTGGCTTCGTATCACAGACTGCCAGTTCGTAATGTCGTTCTCCAGGCTGTATAATTTGCCATAAATATCACCAAGTTTGAAAAAGCCCACTGAGGTGGTATGCAAGGGATAGAAAAAGGATTAGAAAGAAGAATGATAAAGAAAAAAAAAAAAACAAAACACCAGAAAAAAGAGTAGTTACAGGTGCAGAGCAGTTTAGTTTTGTTCCCGGGCTTAGAGAAGCTCTGCTGGTATTCCCTGCATGCATTCCCTGGAGATAGTTTAGTAGTAGAGAGAATATTTCCAGGACTAGTAAGGATTGCTTGACTATCTTTGAGCTCTTTAATGTCACATTTTGAAAACCAGTCTGAGTGAGGCAGTAAGATACATATTTGTAATGAATCATCAAAAAATACATCGCGTTACTCATGACTAAAGCAAGGTCAGAAGAGATATTCCTTCAGGGAAACAAAATCTCAGGAATTAGCAACTCTGCCAGTACCCGTGCACTGGCTATGCTACAGCTTCTCCAAAGGCTGATGTGTGTTTGCCTCAACTATTCCAATTATTTCAAACAAAGAAAAGCTCACAGATAATGAGACTATGTATGTTTTATATTTAGCAAGTTGTACCTGAACAGATCTTGGACTTTTCTCAAGCCAATTTCTCTAGAAATTCTTTAAAAAGAAACCTCAGAATACAGCAGTGTTCTGTTTGTCCCCCTCATGCTTTCCCAAACCTGTCTTTGATGGGTGGAAGAAAACCAGAAACTAGCAAGCGGAGGCTTCCAGTAATGTATACATATACTCCATCCCACTTAAATGACCTCCCATTTTTAGTCATCACCATGTAAGGTAACAACTGCCCAGAGAATTTTACGCTGATATCGCGATCCTCTCTATTAATCACCAGTGCAGTTCCCTGAAGAAGATGTTGGAGGAAAGAGGATTAAGTGGCACTCCATTGCCTATGAAACCAGACTTATAGCAAGAGTATGCAAGTACTTAGTCTTCTGGCAGATATACCTCCCTTTCTTTCAACAATTTTTTTTTAATGCTAGTTTTGGATGTCCAGTGTGAGACAAGCAGCCTTGCTTTCCTTTCCTTCACTTGGAAAGTAGGGGGAATTACTGATCCACATTCAGATGACATTTGGAAATCCACCCAGTAATGGTGCCGGTTCTAAGCGCTACTCCATATGGACACTTACTTGCAGATGATACAGACCTAATTATGAATTATGCCAAATACCTTTTCTGCTATGGAAGCAGTGACTCCCTAGAGGCAGAATGATTACACAATTGTTCAGGAGAATGGGTGAAGATTAGTATCTTAACTGAAATAGCAATAACGTTTAGAGATCATAGAATGCATCACAAAAAATCCTGTAAGCTCTGTTGTATAACTGGTATTGTGCCTGCACATCATGAGATACTCATGTTCTAACCACAACTGGAAATCTGCTGGAAGTTACAATTTATTAAGTAATTATGGCTAAATATGAATATAGTATTGACTGTCTTTGTAATTTATCTATTTTTCCCCTTCTAGGGAGCGTTGGAAGTCAGCCCATGCGCAAGCTCCGTTGTGTAAGTCTGTCGACACAGCAACTGAACATCCGAAATCTTGTCAGCTATGAAAAGCAACAAGTTCCAGTAAACGCCATCATGTAAGTATCCAGTGCACAGTTCACCTTCAGACTCATCTATGCAAACACGCTACCATCGAAAAGGGAAAGGGCATCAGAAGACACTTCATGGCCCAAATCACTAAATCTGGCTACTTCAGGTCACCCTTCCAGTTCCCCCACGAAGCAGTCACCTGGCAGCTGAGGGAGTGAGGGCAGAGGGGTGGGCCTCAGGGAGCTGGGGGATGTATGCTGCTCACAAACACTGGCAGAAATCTCACTGAACAGCCAGATCTTTTGTGCCCGGAAAGTGGGGAAAAATCTCAGTGAGGGGTCAGGATGGAGCAGTCAGAAGCCCAGTGCAGTGAATTGAGCCAAGGGGAAAGATCCTGTGGGAGAGTTTGGGGTAACTCTGACTCCTGCTAGGAGCTGTGTTTGGTCTTTTCATCTCACGAGCACGCATTTTTATCAAATCTGGGATCTGCTCCTGGAAGGTAAATGTGCATCATGGTTTCATATAAAATTTCAGAATGTCAGGTATGCTCCTTTTTTTAAATGTCAGTATATATGTGTGTGCACATGACCGTGTATGTTACATACATACTTACGCCATAAATAGGGAACATAAATGTTGCTAACTGCTGTTATTCCAACTAACAACTACAAACTCCGGCATGTGATATGGTTTTACCACATTGTTCCTCATGTTCTGCATAAAAACCAAGAACAGTAAACCTGGGTTTGGAGACTGGAATTTAATGGCCGCCTGGTTTGCTTTCTTTCTTCCTTCCTATAGGTTTATCACCGCAACAGGTATCAAGATCTGCGTAAGCCCTAATCAGAAATGGGTGCAGGCTGCTATAAAAAAAATAGACCAAAAACGTACCACCAAAGGCAAATAATCCTGTCCTAGGCAAGCATCTAAGGCCAACTAAGTGGAATCATCATCAGTGCTGCACATAACAGGGAAGAAAGCCTTAGTATCTGCTTTTAATTCATATTTATTAATTGGCAATAAAATCTCTGAACAAACATGAACTCAGAATCTGTTCATCACTGGTCAAACGTCTGCTGACTTCTTCATTTTATAGCTGGACTCTGTTACACTGTTTATTTTCTGAAATGCTTGCTAATATTTATTTACAAATTAATGTAGATATCTTCTTATCCTTGCTGTCCTGACCAGTATGGCATTTAAGGGTGGCAGATAGTTTCACGTACTGTATAGAAGAAGATGACCTCCCACAGAGCTGGATGAGTGTAGACCTCCATCCTGATGTTCTGCATCCTCCTCCAGAATGTTCTGCATTGAGTGCTGGGTTTGAGAAAGTGCTATATAATTTAATGGTTACTCATATCTATATGATATCTATATCATATCTATATAATCTATAAGTAAACTAATCTCATGCTTCAGGCTATCATCTGATCAGTGCAATATTCAGAAGATGATCCTTGGGTCTTCTATTTTTATACACAGTATTGCACTATTAGATCAGTCCACAATGATGTATGGATACTCTCACCAAGGGATGACCTTGAGTAATTCAGTGTAACTCTATGAATGTAACCCTATTCAGCCTTGTACTGGGGAAGACTTATCCTACCCACTGACTTCTGTGAAGTTACTTCAGTTTCATCCTCATGTGAGACAAACCTGGAACAATTGTTTTACTTTTTCCTTTACTTTTCTCTGAATAAGCAAGAACAAACCTTGTCTGGAATCTGTATTTCACAAACTCATAGGAACTCCCTGCCCTAGAGAGCTATGTATATGTAAATGCCTTATATTTTTAAAATTGCTAAATTCTACTAACATAAGGTTTTGAATTTTAATAAAGTTACTATAAACCTGGAATCAAATGGTACATTTGTCTGCTTGTATGTAATGCAGATAGAGACTGTTGAAACTGGTACCAAGATGACAGCACAAATCTGAGAACTTTTGGGCAAGCCAGCTAGGGCTGACACTACTGCCAACTCGTGACTCAGATTGTTCAAAGGCAATCTGATTCTGAGCTTTCTACTCCATATTTCAGCTGTAAAGCCCATATTTCAGACCATACCTCTTCAAAAGTTTGGGTACTTAAAGTCAGACTTCATACAATGCTAGGATGACCCCCACATTATCAGAAGCAGACACGGAAGACCTCTGGGCAGAGAAAGAAAAAAATGGCATTTGAGGAGCTTGAGGGGTGGAGGAGAGGTATAGGCAGCGGGGCTCCAGGAATAAACTTCCTCTCATACTACCGCATGTATGTCGCCTGCACTGCTGCTACACTATGGGCTTTTCATCACAAATAACCCCTTAGTGATACACGTGAAACTACAGCACTTCCAAACTACACTATAGAAATAAGATCACCTTACTCTAAAAGCCAGTCTTTACAGTTCCCCGCTCTGGTCAGGTCTGCAGGCAGAATTTGTTTCCCGTGGCTCACGTTTTGTCATAGCTCAGTCCTGTGTAAGAAAATGCCTTTGGTTTTCACTATCCAGGAGAGGTTTTAAAGCAGTGCTACTGCTCAGGCAGGGAAGAGAAGGATGACTGTTATGTGTCACACTACAGACCAGAGCCAAGGCAGGCTACTGAGCCTCCATTATACAGAGTGATGCTTCCTTACAGAAGTTTTCGATATCAACTACACTAGAAAAAAATAGTTGTTGCTACAAACTTTGTAAGAAGAGCTTTACAGGTAGAAATGTTGAGATAAGACGTTTCCGGAGTCCGGCAATATATAAACTGGTGTTCATTCATTTTGAATCGTGGATCTCAAGGCCCCAGTCCCTCACATTTAGACAGCAGAAACACTTCTGTTCCCTTCAGCATCATCAGGCTATCAGCAGGCTACAAAACCAGGTCACCTATAAAAGCATTTTTATGGTAAGCTCTCCCAGATGAATACCATCAGCTTCCATTGATCAAACTCATCCAGGACCAGAACTAACTAACATGCTTTTGGCAGGCAGAATTTTAATGCCTTTGTTCATACTCAGTAGTATCTTATGCTGGAATTAATTTTGCTGAAGTGAATGTAATTTTTTTTAATTAGGACTATCACAACCTGAGGATATATTAATTAACCATCACATAGCAATTAATACTTTATATCTGCTCAACCTCATCACAGTTCATAGCATGATTAATAATCATTTTTAAGAGTGAATCATCCAACTTAATAATTACATCTTGTTTGTTATACCTTGCAAGATCTGTAATGATCCTTGTGCCCTTCTTGGGAGTTATTTACTATGAGTGATCAGTGCTCTGAACATCTCTTCCTACTTCGCCATTAAACCCCAGGGACTTCCCTGTCTTTCCCTGACCATTCCTTACCCCAGTCCTTGCTGTGGTCCCAGCTGTGTGCTATTTTTGTCATCTCTAGCTGTGTATAGTCTGGAAGCTTATCTGCAACGGCACTGCTCCTGCCTAGCACTTTTCCCTGAGGCTCTCAAAATGCTTTAGAAAGAATGGAAAATATGATTAAACCTCCTTTTCACACACACACACACACACACACAAAAGGAAAGTGCAAAATGAAGAACCAGAGTGCTGCTGTTGTGTTGGAGGCAAGTAAGAACCATAGTCTCGGTCTCTCCAACATCCTTAGGAAACATCTGGCTTAGAAAAACAGGAAGTTAGGCTCCAAGGTATGTTTGAAGATCTGGGGCTGTGGTTGCACTGATGTCCTCCCTGCACCTGGCTGCCCACCATTTCTTCTCCAAGTGAGGTAGGGAGCAGGGGGCTTACGGTGACTGCTTCCCTTCCTGCTCATCCTCTCCTAGATTGCAGCCTGTAATATGAACATTGATTTCCTTTGACTCTTTTTGTAAGATCTGTGCACCACTTTGCCAGAAAGGACCCTCCAAATACACGTCGCAGACCAGGGAGCAGCAATATTTGAAACAACTCAACCACTTCTCTTCTGTCGCGCACAACTCACAGTTTCCAAAGGGACTGAAGAGATGCGCTGTGTTCAGATCTTTAGCACGGGGGAAAGACAGCAGAGAGCACAGTGGGCAAGCCCTCAACTTGTGTTAGTATTCACAGCTTCACTAACTTCAACAGAGGCAGACAGGACAACTACTTGTGGTGGAGTCACCATCCCTGGAAGTATTTAAAAGACGTGTAGATGAGGCGCTTAGGGACATGGTTTAGCGGGCATGGTGGTGTTGGGTTGACGGTTGGACTCGATGATCTTAGAGGTCTTTTCCAACCTTAATGATTCTATGATTCTATGATTCTATCCACTCCTTTGGGCATGCTGGCTTTTTGCATTAAAAAAGTATACTTCCTGGGCAATGACTTGATGTAGCTGCAGTTGTATTCTTTTCACTGCTTATTTATAATTAAGGAACTAGAAAGTTAAGGGTTTACAATGACAATCAGCTTTCCCGGAAACTGTTACTACAACATTCAATCCCTAATCCCCAGTGATGAGCTGAGATATTTCTTGATTCGTTTTTTACATGCCTTCTGATTATCATTTGTGCTTTGCTTTATACTGGAGGTTTTCATCAGCCGATCACCTATTTTAACAGATTTCTCAAGACCCTACATGGGAAGAAGAAAAGGGAGGAGGACTGGGTACCTGGGTACAAATATTAATGCATCGGTGATGCTATTTTGCCAAATATTGGTACATGACATGACAAGTAAGGCATGTTAATTCAGCAAATACAAATATTTTCTTCTCTCATCCCTGTGGAACAATGCACCGCATGGATTTTGGAACGCTAAACCTTATATTTTACATTGAAAATTAATTGATTACTTAACCCAAATTACTGGGGTTTACTACAGAAGACGCTAATTCAAACTTTATGGCGAGCCAGTACAGGAGAAAGTGAGGGGAAAGGTAGGGGGGTAACAAATAGGAAAGGAGTGACAGGCAGTTGTTTCAGGAGAGAGTGGTATGAGGTAGCTGCCATTAAGTCCTTAATAAGTCTCAGTCTTTTAGCAGCTCACTTGCTCTCTTGAGTAATCATCTCTGCTCTGTGGCATGTGTGCTAGGCTAAGTTTCTCATCACCTTGGGGCAACAGAAGCTTAAAAGATGCACCATAAATCTGGAAGCCCAGAGTTATACTCTTCCACTAGCAAATTTTTAGGAATCAACAAATTGAAAACATCTGAAATTACTACTCTGCAAGTGGTTGTCAGTGTAATTCGGAATACAAATTTTAGCTGGGCATTTGATCTGGACAGCATGATAAAACCGTATATAGCACGCTCTGTGATCAGCACCACCACTGCTGCGTGCCCCAGTGAGCCCACCCGCTCTCTAGGTGCGTCTAAGGCCCCTCCCGCAGCAATACCTGCCCTGTTCCGAGGGCACCCTTCTGACTCCCCTTACTGCCTACCACGATGCCTGTGCACTTACTAACCCTGAGAGCTATTTCTGTCTGCCCTTTCCCACCCCATCCTATCCACCCACAACTTGTATTTTGATCAGGAGATCTGAGAAAAAGGGAACAAACCTGCCAGGACAACTCCTACAGAGGCTGCCCAGAAGATTTAAAAAATATTCTGCTGTCAAGTCATGGTTTACCTTCCCCCCATTTCACCTGACAGCTAAAGGCAGCAGAGAGAGGCGAAATTGTGCAACAAAGAGCTAATGCCAAAGCACAGAAGAAAACCTATTTCAGCTGACCCTTCTCACCCTCTAGCCTAGAAAACATTAAAACAACTGAACCAGCAGGCTCAGACTGACAAAAACTAGCGTTTCCATATTTGTACAATCTGCCTGTGTGTTTCTACATTCCCAACAGGAAAGGAAGTACTGCAAAAAAACCTGTTCTGCTAATAATTTCACCAACATTAGAAATAGGATACATCAGCCCATGAAAGACCCCATCTAGAAAATGACTGCAGCAAACCATGGACACACTTTCCAGCACCTGATC